TTTCTATTATGTATAGGAGTTTTTAGGAATTAAAATAGTTCTAAGAATGGTGCCCAGCACATTATAAGTGTTCAGCCAACTTGTTTGTATTATTGCAAGAGCTCAGCAAGGTCATTGCTCCATTGCTTTCATCTCTTGATTTCGTAGCTCTGTGTTCGTTCTCAGACAGGTTGTTCCACTATGGCCCCTGTATCCTAACAATCCCAGAAAAGCTTCCCAGGAAGACTATTGTCTCATAACAGTTCTCATGCACATTCCTGGGTTAATCACCGTGGTTGGGGAACTTAATGAACTGATTTACCAAATAAAGGACATGTGCCTATTCTTGACATTGGAGGTGGGCATCTCTCCAAGGGAAAATCAATACACTAATCAAATAAAACAAAATAAAAATAAAAATACAAAAACAAACCAAAAATGTTACGAAGGAAATAGATGATGGACAGGGAAAACAACAAAAGGCTACAATCCAGTTGATGCTTTCATGGAGTTAAAACATGAGATGATAGGAAGTCCTTTTAAAAGTCTGTATTCCCCCCTGGATTTAATTCATGACAAAATAACGACACAGCCACTGTTGAGCAATTCCTCTGTATGTTTTACATAAAGTAACCAATTTGGTCATTTAGTATTCCTGGCAGTCCAGTGGGTTATACCATTATCATCATCCCATTGTTTAGAGAATGAAGCCAAGTCAAAGAGACTTTAAACAGTTTATTCAAGTGGAACAGCTGGTAAGTGTTCAGCCATGATTTGGAGGTAGAATTGCTGGATTCAGAGATCGCATTGTTGGCCACTCTGTCTTTTCAGATAGATTTCTTTAGTTTAGAATAGTTTTATATTTATAGGAAATCACAAATATAGTGCAGCGAGTTCTCATTTATTTCACATCCAGTTTCTCTGATTATTAACATCTGATATTACTATAGTAGATTTGTCACAATTAATGAACCAATTAATGCGTGATTATTACCTAATGGCTCTGCTTTATTGAGATTCTCTTAGTTTTTATCTAATCTCCCCTTTCTGTTCCATCTTGGTATCTTTTCCAGGATCCACAGTACATTTAACCCTGGTAGCTCCCTGGGATCTTCTTGGCTAACTAAGATAGTCAACCACATATGTAATTGAAATGTTTTATTCTTGAAGGAAAGATTGTGTGGCTTGGGGAAGGTCACACAGCTGAGGGAAGTGGCAGGATTTGAGTGTGTGTATCTGTATATCTGATCTTTAAACCCAGGGTGTTAATGAGTCGGAACCCTTTCTTTTTGTGCCATGTGAGAGAGCATGGGGAGGGGTTTTGTAGCGATCAAGTTGATTTCTGAAAAGTCAGTGAGACTGATACTTACACATGCATGTTCATGTATCCACTGCATATGCACTTGTGTGTGCAGTTGGAAGGGCAGGGGAGCTCTCTGAGGCCTCTTCTATAAGGGCAAAACCACAGGTAAGAGGGCTCTGCTTTCATGACCTAATCAGATCCCAAGTCCCCCTTGTCCTGTGTCATCCCACTGAAGATTAGGTTTCAACATGTGAATTTTAAGGGGACACAAACTCAGACTATCAGGGTAAATCCCAACTCCTTAATAAGACTTCAAGGCTTTGCATCATCGGGTCCCTGCCTTCTACAATGCTCTCCCTTCCTCTGGTCCTGGTCAGCCCCTCCCCGACTCCAGCTCATCTGCCCTCAGCATAAGTGCCTCTCCTCAGGGAAGCCTTCTCTGATTCCTTTCCCCCATATGTTCTCTTAGACCCATGTTTTCTTTCACCTTGTATGATATGTTTTAGGACGATAGGCTCATGTCATCCTAATTAGCATAAAATTTGATGCAAGCAAAAGCTTAGCGTTTACAATACAGTGTCCTCTGTGTTTAGCACAATGTTTGGCACCTAGTAGCCATTCAGTCAATAATACTTAAGGAATGAAGGAACCTTTGCTAACCCTGTCTACAAACACTGGATTCGGTTACTGTACTTTGTCACTATGGAGTTAGAGGGGGAAAGCGCAGAACGCCTCTTCTCCTCTTTCTGGTACATAAATTTGTGAGATTGTTGGTGTTGGAAAGGGCACTGAGGAGGCAGTTGGACTGAGAGGAGGTAAGAGCTCTCAGGATTTAGGGCGATGTTTGCACAGCAGCTTCAGTTCCTGGCCCAGTGCTATGCCCCTGCCACCTGCTTTTCCATCCTCCCTGTCCTCCCGTGGGCACTGACTTGGATATGCCTGGAAGGGAAGTGGGGCTGGGAGGATTTACAGTTACTGCACTTGAGGGCTAAGAAGCTTTTGCAACCCCTCTTTCCCCATGAGTGAGCCTGGGGCTGCAACTTTTGCCATGATGGGGTGGTGGGTTTGTAATGTGGTCAAGTCACCAGGTCACCACAGAAGATTCTTCTGTGTGCAGTCTTTGCCTAAATTTACTTTACTTTGCTACACGAGGAGCCACATCTGCAAGGAAGGAAGGGCCTAGGGCTGCAGCATGGTTACCACGCCCCAGGGAGAAGCACTGTGTACTTAGCGGGAAAACGCCTTTGGATCCAGATAGCTGCAGAGTATTTACACTGGTTCCTCCACTTCCTTGCTGTGTGAGTTGGGACAAGTTACATAACCTCTCTGTGCTTCAGTTTCCCTGAACAGGGAAATTGAGATTATAATCCATACCATGTGGGGTTTGGTGTGGGAGGGGGTCTTAGATTAATTGGTGATATTGGCACATTTCCATTATTCAATAGTGACTGTTATAATTCTAATATCAGAATGGTATGATGGAGATAGGTACAAAATTATAGGTTACTAGGAAAAGCAAGAATGACTGTATGGATCAGGTGTGTTTAAGCCATGTCTTAAATGCTAACAACAGCAGCAATAGAATAATAGCACCGCCACGTGTGTTATGTGCCATGCTCTGTTTTGTATTCCATGAGTTATGTACATGCTTAGCTCATTCAGCACCCCCACCCTGCAGTCATCAGAAGTGGAGAAAGTGAACTCAGAGAGGTTAAGTGACTTTCCCAAGGCTGCTCAGCTGAAGGGTGAAGCCAGCAGGAAGGCTTAGAGCTATTTGACTGCAAAACCAATCTCCTGTCCACAAAACTACTCAGTCTCTTTTAAAGGATGCATTTGAGTTTTCTGAGATAAACAGAAAGAAATAGGGCAGCTGCCACATCTTCCAAAAGGAAAAGTTTGTAAGTCTTTTTATCTATATTTCATATTTGTTTGATCTTTGTCCTTCAGCTGATAAATAGCTCCAAGAAGGCAGGAACTTGTTCCGTTTTATCCATCCTTATTCCCAGAATGGGGCCAGAACATAGTAGGTGTGCAATAAATCTGTTGAATGAAGAATTTTATGGGCTCAACATAGTCCTGCACCTGTGCTACAGATCACAGCATGGATCTAAGCATGACTAAGCATGTCTAAGCATGACTAAGCAGTCTAAGCATGACTGTTTAGCCAAAGTACTGACTTTTCCATCTTAAAAAGTGTGGCGTCACCGTCACTCAAGCTTGACAATTTTGTTATTAGCCACATTGGATGCTTCTTTACAGCCAGTGAAAATTTTCCAGCCCAAGTGATAAGGCCATCTCGGGAGTGAGGGTTCTCCTCTCTTCCTTGCCCGCCCCCCCGCCCCCCACCCTGGTGCCCAGTGCATTTGAATTCTCTTTATGGGTCTGAGACTTATTTCTGGTGATACTGGAGTTCCAGGAGGAGAGGTGAGCGGGTCACACTGGCACAAACAAGCCTGCGCTTGGCACTTAGCTTTTCAGACGAGACGTTTTCCTTGAGGTTGGTATTACAAATAAAGCACTGACCTGTGGTGTCATGCAATCGTGTGTGGGAGCAGGAGGAGGAAGGAGAAAGTGGGATGCGGGGGCAGCCTGCTCCAAGTGTGGATGTGAATAGTGCCAATAAGCTGTCAAATAGAATTAAGGTTCAAAGCATACAGCCTTTAATTTGATTCCACTAAGATGCCGAGTGCTGCTCAGAGGGAATACAATCGATTCTGTTTTGACAGCTTTTGACGTATGCTAAGCAGTAACCATCTCCACTCTATGCAGATTAATAAAAGTTCGCTTTAATTTACAACTTCGGGGGAGGCACATTTGGGATTGAGATGATGCTTCCACCACTTGCTCTGCTCTGTTTTGTGGTTCTCTTCCTCCAAGCTTCTCCTGTGTGCTCTTTTTTATTATTATTAATTTTACTGGTACATTTTAGGTATACAATATAATAACATTCATCCCTGAAATTTGCACCTTTACATAATCTCTCTTGGTTCTTATTTGTTCCCCCTTCCCCTGCCCTCCCTTCAACCCCTCCATCTGAAAACGAAGAAATGGAAACAAAGTCTTCCTATGTGCCCTTCAACTGCACCTTCCTCTCCCTGTCCTCTTTCAATTTCTTAGCACCTTTTCACCTTTCTGCTTTTCATTCTCTCTCCTCCATACTTAAAGGAAAAACATGGAGTCTACACTACACGTCCCACACTGTGCTTCTGCTTTTTTGCACTGCCTTGTTTGAATCCCATAGTATCTTTAGGACACAGGTGGAACTGTGCCCAGGTTCCAGATGAGAAGACAGAAATTCTGATGCTTAAGAGCTTGCTTAAAGTTGTACAGCTAGTAAGTGGCAGAGGTGGGCATTTGAACCCACACCTCTGAGATCTTAAGGTCTGTGCTGTTTCAATGACATCCATGATCCTGGAGCCCGGAAGAGCATTAGAACTACCTAGGGGGCCCTAAAAGTACCAGTGCTTCTGCATCACCAACAGACGCACAAGTGCGATGAGCCTCTGGAGGGGCCAGAACAGGAAGCTGTCCAACAGATTGGTTTTCTTTTTTCCTCATTTTTCTCAGCACATAAGTGAATGCATATGTTGAGACATGTAGCAAAAGAGCCCTTAACACTGACAGTATCTTCTCCCATGCCTCCTGTGGGGAAGGACTTGCCCTTCTCGAAGTCAATCATACAGGAAAATACAGGTGTGTCTTTGTGTTTGTGATGCAGGTGGGCAAGTGGGAGAACCAGACCCTGAGCCTGAGGCACGCTGTGTGGCCAAGGTACAAGTCCTTCTCGGACTGTGAGCCAGACGACAACCATCTCAGCATTGTCACCTTGGAGGAAGCCCCTTTTGTCATCGTGGAGGACATAGACCCATTGACGGAGACATGTGTGAGGAACACCGTGCCGTGTCGGAAGTTTGTCAAGATCAAGTGAGTGCCCGCTGTGATTCAGCCATAAAATGTAATAGAGAATATATCCTATCGTTACAATAAAATAATAATAGATCAAAAGATTCACATGCCTGCAGAGGCCCCAAGTTTATGTTTACTTAATTCCAATAGCAATATGAGGCGGGTAGTTTTGCCCATGGTAAGTTGATAAAACTGATTATGGGAAAATTAAGAAACCCATTCAAAGCCATTAAACAAGAATATACAGCTCAGATGTTGGTTTGTCTGACTCTGCAGCTGAGTTCTTAACCATTACGCAGAATCAGCAGTCCCCTTCATTCAGTCTTTCCTTCAGGAATGTTTTCCTTTCTGTGTTTCTAGCTGCTCTTCACACTCTCCTTCCCCAGCACATTCTTCTCTCTTCTATCTTTTATATTTCCAGATCCACACTTTTCAAAAGTTTTGCAAATTTCCCTCTCTTTGGGAGTGGACAGCATTTGCACGTGACTCTCAGGTTCAGTCCAGGTGGAAATTGATCCGGCGGTGCTGTTTGTGCCATTTCCTCTTTTGCTATATTTCAAGAAAGAGCTGACATTGTGGAGTAAGGGTCCACTTTAATCTGTGCACCCACCGAGGACACAGAAAGCTCCACGATCAAGTCCAAGGCCCTGTTCTTTCCTGATGCAGATATTCACCAGATATTACCCTTGTGGGGGGACTCACTAAAGGAGAAAGCCTGCTGTTCAGTAGAATCTTCTTTGCTGACTATTTTCTGACCCTTCCTTTCACTTGGCCATCCCCTATTTACCCTTAGTTTGGCCAATACCTCCCCAAATTGGGCTAGCTCTGCCTGCTTACACCATACCGGGATAATCTCTATCTCTATTCTTACTGTCTCTTTTTATAGTTTATAGTTTGTCTGTCTTTTCTGCTGAATGATGAGCTCTCCAAATATAGAGGATGTGTCTTATTAATCTTTGTACTCTTGGTGACAAGTACAGAGCACAGTACACCAAGGATTGTTGAATGACTAGATGATGAATGAGTACCTTTATTCCTCCACACTCTAGCCCAGGCATTACTCCCCAAGATGCACATCCTCAAATCTCAGTGCTTGTGATCAGGGTATATATTTTATAAGATACATATGAATGCTAAATGCATTCTGAAGGCACATTTGGGTTTGGAGGAAATTTTACCAACAAAGTTATTAAAGTCACCTTCTTTGGAGTTGAAATTCTGAATAGATGATGAAGTGAGCCTAAATAACTCTTCTTCATAGGCCTCCCCCTCTCCAGTGTCCCCACGATGGCTCCCAGATCAAGAGCCTTACTTTGGCAATCAGTCCAAACCTCCATCCCCTGGAGATAAGGAGGAAGTGAGGTTCTCCAAGGCAGGGCAAGAAAGGATGTCTTAGTGGATTTTGCTGAAATCCTTCACAATTAAATAGCACAGATGTTGCTATAAATAAAAATAAGTAAATAAATACAGAAATATGCCTTAGGCACAGTTTATGTGTCAGGCACCTTCCTGGGCACAGTGGAGACTTTGATCAAGGAAGCAAACGACAAGGATGTTACAGTCCTGTGACAGACACATTAGAAAACCTCTCAACCAGTGAAAGAACGGAGCAGTTCATATTGTGATCAGCCTTGTACAGAGAGAAATAAGGTGGTGTGAAAAGAGAGTATGCCGGGGGATGTGGGAGCCGCATTAGCTCACACGGGTGGGTCAGATCTAAGACGACAAAGGACAAAGGATGAGAAGGAGCCAGACATGTGAAGGACTAAGAAAAGAGTCCCAGTCAGAAGGAAGAACGACTGCAAAGACTCTGAGGAAGGAAAGAATTGAGTAAGATTGGGAAACTAAAGAAAAACCAGTGAATGCTAGAAAGGGATGGGCTGGAAGAAGGGAGAGAACATGAGGAAGTTGTCAGAGGAAGGTTCTGATTTGGGTGGTGTTCTCTGAGCAGAAGTTGATCCAATGAAGGAACCAGAGTGATGGGCACAAAGCAGACTCTATAGCCTTGGTAGGACTCCCCCTTTTTTGGATAATGACACCCTCTATGTTCCGACAGGGCCATCAAGCTGGGCCTCTAGTGCTTCACAATCAATAAAAAGAATTTAGATCTTTTAAATCAGTAGCTGTGAAGCTGAAAACAAGTAGAGCACCAAATCCTGAGCTGTATTACTGTGAAGAATAATGAATCCAAATAAATTACTCTCTTTAAAATAATTGACTTTTCTGTTGAAGACTACAGACAGTTTAGATTCATGTTTTTGGTTCCTACAGGGAGGTGGTAGCTTGCAGTTTTCCCTTTTCCATGTGAGGACACGAGTCCTGTGTGTCTTTGTGAAATTAAAGTCTTTGACTTACCTGAAATCAATAGCAAAATGCTAAGATCTACTAATGGCAACATGAACACAGATTAGATCAACTGCATTTCCTAAAGCTAAGGGTTTAAGGCAGGCTGACAGGTTGCAAAAAGATTCCTGTTAGACATCGTCATTCTATTTGTTTTCTTGGTAATACCCTCCCAGGGAAAACTCTATATTTTCTTGCTTCTTGTAAATGGTGGGGTCTTGAAGTTACCTATCAGCCTAAAAAGCCAGAATGAGCTGAGAAATCAGATTTTCTTTCTAGTCTGTTAGTTGGATGTTAAATGCATGGAGAACAAGTCAGAAAAATTGTGTGATCTGATCTGTACAAAGAAAATGGCCATATTGACAATTACAATCCTGAATTGTCAAATCATTCAGAGGAAGAGAAATTTATTTTTAAGGTTTATATAAGAAGCACTATAGATACTTTATTTTATTTAATCTGCCCAACTCTCCTGAAAAGTATCAGCCTTCTCAATTCATGAATGCATACCAGTTCTATGAGTGTTGAGACTTAGATCTAAGTTTTCGTGGTTGGTAGGATTCAACCCAGGGCCTGAACACAGTTCTAACTGATTTGTGTGGCTACGTTTATATCTACTGGCCACACTGGGAAATTGTGGGGTCAGTGAACTGGACACTTTATTGGATCCATTTCCTCGTGTTGTTTTCACAAGTCACATTTTCTTTTGAGAGGTGGTCAAAGAGCTGGGAGAAAGTACATGGGTACACAAGGATTGGGAAAGGAACCAACAGAAGTTCCAATTATAATTTGATCTGAGTTTCCACAGCCACTATGACACAGTAAATTAGTACATTTGCTCCATGCCTTTTCCATCCTGTGTTTCCAAGTTCTGATTTCCTAGTAGAGAGGAGGTTCTCAGTGGATACCTATTGGGTGAAAATGTACCACTGACCGTCTATATCTAGAAATATACCTTGGAGCCAGGAACATGGGGACATTCACTTATAAACCAGCTGAGATTCCCAGTGAGACCAGAGAATGCCATATGTACCTGTGATCCTGAATCTTAATCCTGGGAACTTCTGCCTAACCCCTCACCCCCAGGAAATGCCCAGGTTAAAAAAAAAAAAAGGTTATGACAAAGGAAAGTAAAGAGCAGAGAGTGAGGGAGATACATGTGAGCAGAGGTGGGAAAAGGGATCATAGTTTTAGGGAGAAAGAGAATTTGATTTTGGTACATGTTTCAGAGCCACATAGACTAAGAAATAAAGGTTTCCTGACATCCCATTGATTTAATGTACTTGAGACACATTTCTATCACATTTCTCGCAATTTTAACTCCAGCCTGACCCCCTCTGCTCTGGGTCATTGATGGGGCTGGGGTTAACACTCACCTGCTATGAGTCTATAGCACGGAGCTCACCAGTCATTGTACTTGAGTTTATAGTACACAGACATGGCTCTCACTACCTTCAAGCTGAGGGTGGCCAGTCAGAGCAGGTCACCAGGTCTCTAGATTGGAGAGTGAAGTCTACATGGTGGTCTTGGTCAACAGAAGCAGGATGGTTGAGTAGAAAGCGGGGCAGGATAAGAGGATGGTGAAGTTGGTGATTCCAGGTAGGGATTCTGTGATCCTGAGACAAAGGAAAACATTGAAAAAGGTAAATAACTTCCATTAACTCAAAGTTATAATGTCAAATGTGTCCATTCATGGCCTAGCTACAGACATACCAATGCTGCTGAATATAGTGGACATTATATACATTATTTATATATATATTATTTACATTATATACATTATTTATATATATTATATGCTCACTAGATTATTTGGGGGAGATTCTCAAAAATACAACAATGAAAATATTTCCTACCTTTCAAAAATAGCTATGCTTCCTATTTCACTGTTTGTCTATCTAGTTATTTCATAAGCTTATGTGCTTATGTGATCATTGTTTGTACTTATTTTTTCATATGATATGGGAATATATTTTCCTATCACAATATTGGATTTCCATAAACATCATTTTTAGTTAACATTCCAAAGGGTAGGTGTGACAAAAAGTATAATTTTCAAACAGAGCGCTTATTTCCTGACATGCACGGCTGAGACAAAGTTGAGCTAGTGGGATGCCCTAGTGCAAGGTGGAGTCAAGAGAATTGCTCAAAGAGACCTTGATCTTCCCACATGAGTTGCCCAGATACTTTTCATTACCTGGTTTGGAAATATCAGTGTTTCCTTCATTTTTAAAGGTATGTGTGATTTGTGTAGATGTCCTTTGAGTATTACTTGGCCAGGTGAATAAATTAGGGAAGCAAGTGCAAAGCAGACAGTATAATCTTGATGGATGATAAGATAGGCTTTAAAATGGCAATATTCTCTTTGTTTGCATGAGGGCTTTTCCTGGTCAAAGACATCCTTTCTCCAAAATGTCACTGTTTACATTTCATGCCATGTAGGTTTATAGGGAAGATGTTATGAATGAACCTTTAGGACATAGTTGGCTCTATCATCAGAAGTCAGGTCCAAGACTCCGGCATAGGTAGAACCCAGGTATCCTAATTCTTAACAGTGTTCCAGAAACCCTCACTTCCTCTCCTTGGTTTCAAGAATTTGTAACTAGAAGATGAAGTAAAATCCTACTTCACTTGAGAATTTCACATCCTCCTCTCTCCGCTTCCCATACGCTTTTATGATTCAATTTACATCAGATGATTAAACTTTGGGCCTAAAGAAGTGCATTATAAACTCTTAAAAATAAGGGTTGGTGACTCTCACCTGTTTAATAGGGTACAAATGGTATGTAATTCAGTGAAATGTGGAGGTTAAGCCAACAATTAGTACACAACGTTTAGCAGAGTACCTAGCCAACAATAATTACTCAGTAAGTATTAGCTGTTTTCATGACAACTATTGTAATTCAGAACCCTTTCTACATTTGCTGTCCTGAACTCACTGTGAGTCCTAGGGAAAGTCATTTTCCCCTTTCTGGGCCACAGTTTCCTGTCTGAAATATATAACAGTGTCGTTAACCAAGTGCACAAACCTTCCAGTAGTAATGTTCCGTGGCCTTGTGGTTCTCTCCACAGCAATTCAACCAACGAGGGGATGAATGTTAAAAAGTGCTGCAAAGGTTTCTGCATTGACATATTGAAGAAGCTCTCAAGAACAGTGAAGTTCACCTACGACCTCTACCTGGTGACCAACGGGAAGCATGGCAAAAAGGTTAACAACGTGTGGAATGGAATGATTGGTGAAGTACGTTTCCTTCCCTCCTCCAACTCTCCATCCCCTACAGGTCTTGGGTGTGCTGGGAAGAATAAGTGAACATGTTGCTCTTTGCTGGATCCAGGTGGTCTATCAGCGGGCAGTGATGGCTGTGGGCTCGCTCACCATCAACGAGGAGCGCTCTGAAGTGGTAGACTTCTCTGTGCCCTTCGTGGAGACAGGAATCAGCGTCATGGTTTCCAGAAGCAACGGCACCGTTTCACCTTCTGCTTTTCTAGGTATGTGACCTTCATAGTGACAACTGCTTTTCTGGAAGGAATTAATTATAGGTCTTCTTTCTTGTTGCTCAAATGATAGGATTGAGAGGGCTGTGGTGGCCCATGCCTGTAAACTCAGCTACTTTGGAGGCTCAGGCAGGAGGATTGCAAGTCTGAGGCCAACCTGGGAAACTAAATGAGGCCATGTCTCATAAAAAATAGAGAAGGCTGTGGATCTAACTTGGGGGTAGAACGCCCCTGGGTTCAGTTTTTTTAAAAAAGGAATAAACTAGACCTTGTGTGATTCTGTTTGACTGTATCAGTGTATTCCCAGAGTGTTCTGCATTTGAATGACTCCAGTTCACAACCACCTCCCCTGACTCCGCAGGCCACATCTTTCATTTATCTTTAACTTGGAAATCTCTTTTGATAAAAATACTATCACATATTCAGATACCACTCTTAACTCTACAGAATGCAAATTAAAAGATACACTGCTAGAGCCTTGAAATCATTCAAAAAATAAATAAACCTGTCTGTCTACAGTTAATTTAAATCAGCCCATAAACCTTTACTCAGCATCCACACACCTGTCCTCATCTCAAACTAGGATGGCACTCATTTATTTGCTAGATCTAAGAGGGAAAATAATGATGACTCCACCATAATTTATGACAGTACTCCAATAAGCAAAATAGAAGTAGTCTGAAGAATATACACTCATTTAAAATTAATGGGATCATATTTTAAATGTGCTTATCCTTTGAGCCAAATAGTTTGTAAAGCAAAAAATCTATCTGACTCTTCTTGTAAACATTTGATAAATTTGTGTGTTCACATAAATGGATTTTTTTTCTAAAGGTAAAGTTGTATTTTTCTATGGTCTTTTTTTTTTTTTTATAGCTGTTGCTGTTTCCAGCACTGTAACTGTATGTACATTAGGTAGCCTGGCCAGGGTAGTAGAAATTTTACAAAAAGTCCAAGCACTATTGTACAGTTTTTCATGAAAGTGTGTTGACTGTTGGATTTTTTTCAGTAATTACCTTGTTGATGACCATGGAATTCAGATGAACTCCTCCTTGGCATACCTATATACATGGGTTTGCACTAAATTTGGGGAGATTAAGATAACCCTTTATCTTTAGAGGGAAACCACACGAGAGAGGGAAAACAATTTTGTTAAGGTCAACTGAATTTCTAATACTTTTTCTAGATATTAAAAATTTTATTAAAGAAAATTGCTAACTAGACCCAATTTGTGAACACCCACTCTAAGCCCATAGTCTTGTGTTTCCAACATCTTCATTTATAGGTAATGTCACCATCCAGTGAAATTTTCACAATTCTTTCTCTTGAGTGAAATGTTGACTAACAGGATTTCAGGATACTTCCTTACTCACAGAGGCTTATGGATTTTCTATTTTCAGTTTTGATAATCCAGTTAAGCTGTTTGGATTTGATTTTGCACTCATTGCTTCAGTTTTTGTAATTTTTGTTGGAGCAGTATGGAGCTTGACAAACACATACCTTTTGTGTCTTTTGTCTGACATATATATGGATACAATATCACAACAAGGGAACCTTGCAAGTCACCACTAGTCATTTTTCCCCGTTGCCTATCAGACTCTTAGAGAAGAGCTTTTTGCCCTCATTGTTAAAAAAAGATAGAGGAAGTGAGTTTATAAAAAATTTTTTTTTCAGAATGTATCTCCATATCTTCTCAGTGAGCTAGAGAGAACTTTTTTCCCAGTTCAACCAGAGAGAAAAATACCAATTGGCTTGTCTCATAAAAATGGGTCACTGATATTGAATCTGGCCCCAACCCAGTTTCTCTAGATTTTATCTTATCTGTATCTGTAGAACATTTCCATTAAAAAGGCAAGCATTTTGTTAAATTTAGGAACACCCCCCCACCATGTTCTTTTTACTGTCTCTCTTTTTTTTGGTATTGGGGAACTGTCTCTTCTAAAATAAAATAAATTGAAGTCAGAGGAGACTATTTTCATAGCTGTTGTTACCCAGTAGGTATAATATTTTTCCTAGTCACTAAATTGCATCCCTATTTGATTGGCTGTGCACCCCTTATTTACAGTCATTATCTGTAGGTGTTAAAAGTCATAATGAACCATGCTAAGCTACATTTTTCCATTCTCTAGCTCAGTCATCTGGAAGAGCCAAAACATTCAGAATCTGATTGCATTGCTCTTCATTATTTCCTATTCTCTATCCTCCACGAGCTCCATTAACTCACATCAGAAACACTTGCAGGTAATGCCACAAGCTTTTGTGTAAAAACTGCAACCTGTGGCTTTTCAAGGACAGAGATGACATCTCTTGCAATATTTCAATCTAGTTTATTCTAAAGACTTTTTAAGCAGGTTGTATTCTTTGATACAAAGAAATGCTGACCTGGAGTTTCCTAGATTTAAATTCTTTTTTTTTTTTTTTTTGCTTAAATTCTTTTATTGGTACATTTTAGGTATATGATACATTTACATTTATCCTTGGGTGCTTGTACCTGAACATCATGTATCTTAGTTCTTATTTTTCCCCCATTACCTGGGCACCTTTCACCCTCTACACCCTTCCCTATTTACATAGACTTTGTTTCTGTTTTTTTTTTCTTTTTTTTTTTTTTTTTCTTTCTCATTCTTTTTCCTTTCCCTTCTTCCCTTTTCCCTTCTTTTCCCACCAGCCCTACACCTTTGGACCTTTTCCCATCTCAATTTATCAATTATTCATTTTAGTCATTTTCATCCTTATTTACACTTTCAGTTTCTCACACTAGAGAAACTATTCAGTATTTACACGTGTGTCCTATTTATTTCATTTAAGAGTATGGCCTCAATATGCATCCATTTAGCTATAAATGTCTCTAGTTTCTCATTCTTTATGGCT